GTAAGAATTAAATATAAATTTTATATATACCTTTGCTCTTGCTATCCTGTTTAAAAAAGTTTAGAAAACTCTGTTTACCCACTCGAATCTAAATTTTCTATCTACCTTTGCTTCTGCTGTCCTGCTTAAAAAAGTTTAGAAAACTCTGTTTTTACGCGTGGTGTGTAAAGAGACGTAAACAGAATTTTCTAAACTTTTTTAAAAGCTACGGCTCCGCGGTGTGTGAACAGAGTTTTCTAAACATTTTTCAACACTACAGCAAATGCAAAGGTAAATAGAAAATTTGTATTTAATTCTTACATACTTTCGAAGAAGAGGAGAGAGAACCATTTGACCGATTTACCCTTCTGTGTGTAATCTTTCCGCTCCTTTGTTGAGTCCTTGACGGTCATTTCCGGTTTTTCGCTTATAAATAACCACAGCTGCTCTTAAACTCATCAGATTAATTAGGAGATAGGCAGAATCCCAAGATTGTATTCCTCCTGCTCTTGCAACTGCATTAAGGAATATATATTTTTTTTCTTCTAATTCCTCTACGGTCCAAAATGCAGTCCCCCAGCATCCAAATCATTCAGCTTCTGAGGTTAGTCATTGCTTTATCTTTGAGTTAAATGTATTTTTCAGTTGAACATGGAAAATCGGTTTCTTTATTTTCTTTTTTCATTTGTATTTAGAATCAGTATAGTGTTACTGTAAGACCAAAATTTTTTAAGTTAAATGCTAATTTTGTTCTTAAACTTTGATGGTTTGCACTTTGCAAACTCTTTCACGTAAGTTTTGTATGTGATTTTATTTTCTTTTTTTATTATGAAGCCTGCTAATTAACTTTCTCAATTTTCATTATGGATTTGCTTTGCAGGCGGTGCAAATCCTTTTCTGCTGGAACAATAGCCATATTGGGCCTACTAATAGCTGCATTCACTCCTCTACTACAATACTCGGCGCTCTCTCCGCCCTTTGGTTCTTTCATACTGTCCAGTTATTGTGTAATGTTGATGTTGTGCACTATGGCACTGGTTGCTGATGCTGGTCTCGGAATCGCTTGTCATGATTTCCACGCACGCCATTGGAGCGAAATTTTGAGGACCATTACTGTCCTGACGGGTTCATTAGCGGTCATTTCACTCATTTCTATTAGCAAACCATACATTGCCTCGGTCTTCTTATTTGTGTGGCTCCTCCTTGCTATACACCTTATTCGCAGTCTATATCGGGACTTAACCCAACCCATACTGCCTATTACCGTCAACACTGCAATCCATTCCGTCAGGGCAGCACTGGGTATGATGAAAAATTGGGCAAGAAACTTGTTCCACTGGTAAACAACGGCTATTCCAGTGCTCTGTTAACGGAATTTGTCATTGATTGTCTCCTTTCAATGCAGAACTTAATATGGTGTTGGTGAATGTATCTTTATAAGGGCAGGGTGTAAAATAATCCGATTGCAATTTTCTATATTGTGGAGTAATGTTTTCTTGATGGGTTATTAGCCATGTATAATGGAGTATTAAATAGTAATCCTTTAATATTAATAAAAATTTATCTTTATAAGGGCAGGGTGTTGGTGAATGTATCTTTAAAATGATTTTATAACTTAATATCGTTATCAACAACCATTAGGACTATTTTTTTCTTTTGTATTGTGGTGTGAGTTAGGGGATTATGTTTTCTTGATGGGTTATTAGCCATGTATAATGGAGTATTAAATAGTACTCCTTTAATATTAATAAAAACTTATCTTTCTACCCCACCTCTCTGCTCATGTTTGCCTTGTCAATCTCAAATGTTGTAGATGGAGGCCATGGTGAGGAAAAGGAAGAGGGTGAAGG